TGATGTCCGCCTGGAGCCTTGCAGTGTCTGCAATGGAAGACACTGTCGTGCAGATTCGGGTGTCATCTGCAAAGGAAGACACGGTGCTGTGGTTGACATCCTTGTCTATGTCAGATATGAGGATGAGGAACAAGATGGGAGCGAGCACTGTGCCTTGTGGAACAGAGCTTTTCATCGTAGCTGCCTCGGACTTTACTCTGTTGACTACTACTCTCTGTGTTCTGTTAGTGAGGAAATTATAGATCCATCGACCGACTTTTCCTGTTATTCCTTTAGCACGCATTTTGTGCGCTATTACGCCATGGTCACACTTGTCGAAGGCTTTTGCAAAGTCTGTATATATTACATCTGCATTCTTTTTGTCTTCTAGTGCATCTAGGACCTTGTCGTAGTGATCCAATAGTTGAGACAGACAGGAGCGACCTGTTCTAAACCCATGTTGCCCTGGGTTGTGTAACTGATGGGTTTCTAGATGGGTGGTGATCTTGCTTCTTAGGACCCTTTCAAAGATTTTTATGATATGGGATGTTAGTGCTATCGGTCTGTAGTTCTTTGCTGTTGCTTTACTGCCACCTTTGTGGAGTTGGGCTATGTCTGTTGTTTTTAGTAACTGTGGGACGACCCCCATGTCCATTCTCCCTCTCCATAGGATGGTAAAGGCTCGTGATAGGGGCTTCTTGCAGTTCTTGATGAACACGGAGTTCCATGAGTCTGACCCTGGGGCAGAGTGCATGGGCATGTCATTTATCGCCTGTTCGAAGTCATTTGGCGTCAGGATAACATAGGATAGGCTTGTGTTAACCAAATTCTGTGGCTCTCCCATAAAAAATTCATTTTGATCTTCGACTCTCAGTCTGGTTAGCGGCTTGCTAAAACTGAGTCATATTGGGACTTGAGTAGCTCACTCATTTCCTTGCTGTCATCTGTGTAGGACCCATCTTGTTTAAGTAGGGGCCCAATACTGGACGTTGTTCTCGACTTTGATTTGGCATAGGAGAAGAAATACTTTGGATTTCTTTCGATTTCATTTATGGCTTTTAGTTCTTCCCGCGATTCCTGGCTCCTATTAGATTCCTTTAGCTTAAGTTCGATGCTTGCTATTTCTCTGACCAGTGTCTCCCTACGCATTTCAGATATATTGACCTCTTTTAGCCGCTCTGTTATTCTTTTCCGTCGCCTGTAAAGGGAGCGCCTGTCTCTTTCTATTTTACATCTACTCCTCCTTTTTCTTAGAGGAATAAGCCTTGAGCATACATCAAGTGCCACCAAGTTAATCTGTTCTAGGCATAAGTTGGGGTCTGTGTTGCTTAGCATATCTTCCCAGTTTATATCGGTTAGGACTTGGTTTACTTGGTCCCACTTTATGTTTTTGTTATTGAAGTTGAATTTGGTGAAAGCTCCCTCGTGACTAATCTCATTATGTCGGTCTGGGGCTCTGCGCATACATGTCTGAACCTCAATTATGTTGTGATCTGAGTATATTGTTTTTGATATGTATGCCCAATAAATTAACAAAGACAGTCTTGCTTGCTGAAGTTTCCAAATGTTTTGATCCACTAGGCTTAGTGTCACCCCTTACTATAAGAGGGAAATTATTAATACAAGAAGCATGGAAGCTTAAATGTGCTTGGGATGAAATTCTACCTGAGGAATTCATTAACAGATGGGATGAATTAATTGGTGATTATGGAAAAATTCCAATTTTGGAGTTCCCACGCCAGGTGGCCAATCCAAATGGGAAAAATATACTCCACATTTTTTTGTGATGCTTCAAAATTGGCATATGGAGCAGTTGCTTATCTTCAATGTAATAGTGTTATTTCTCTTGTTATGTCTAAGGCTAAAGTGTCTCCAATTAAATCACGTACTTTACCTCAGTTGGAATTAACAGCCATTTATGTAGGTGTCAAATTAGCTAATTATATAAGAAATAAGTTGCAGGAGATAAATATTAGCGACACTGTAATTTGGTCTGATAATGAGGTATCCTTACAATGGATTCGTAATGGAAACAGTAAAATTGTGTACGTACAAAACAGAGTCACTGAAATTAATCAGATGCAAGAGAAGTATAATAGTTTGGGTCAGCATATGTTAACATTTAATCATATACCTGGTGAGGAGAATCCAGCTGATTTCTTGTCTCGAGGTTTACCTTATGCTAAATTTGTAAATGCTGTATCATGGTTTAAAGGACCGAGCAGGTTGGTAAATAAAGCTAATTGGTCTGTACAAAAGGCGTATATTGCTCCTGTTGAAATTACTGTGACCACCGCTCCAATAGTTTGTCCTCCCTTAGCCATTGATGTAAATATTTATTCTTCTTTACCCAAACTAATCAATGTAACTAAGTTGGTGTTTAAATTTCTAAACAAGATGAATATCTCATATAAGTTTTCACATCCTCTTGAATATTGGATAAAGAGGGTACAGGAAGAAATCTATGGAAATGAGATTAAATTGATGATGGAAAGAAAAATTGTGAAAGGTTCTATAATAGAGAAATTGGGGCTGTATTTAGAGAACAATGTAATTAGGTGCAGAGGTAGGTTACAAAATGCTGAATTGGGTGATTATGCTGAACACCCTATCTTACTGCCCAAAACTCATCATCTAACAAATTTAATTGTTTTAAATGCCCATAAAATGTAATGCATGGTGGGGTACAAGATACCTTAAATTGTATTAGGGAAACTTTCTGGATTCCACAATGACGACAAAGTGTAAAAAGGGTGATTAAATCTTGTGTAATATGTCGCCGTGTGGATGCCAGATCCTATATGTACCCAGGTCCTCCACCATTACCAAAGGAGCTTGTACAATTAGTGAAACCATTTGATGTAACAGGTGTAGACTATAGTGGTCCAATCATTTTAACAGGTACTTCAGATGGTGTTCCACTGAAAGTGTATGTATGCTTGTTCACTTGTACTGCTACTAGGGCAGTTCATTTCGAAGTGGCTCAGGACTTGTCTGCAGAGCAGTTTATACAGCTGTTTCGAAAATTTGCAGCTAGGAGATCCTGTCCGAGATTGATGATTTCGGATAATGCCACAAGTTTTGTAGCGGGTGCTCAACACTTGATAGAATTAAATAAGAGTAACGATGTTCAATCTCTTACCTAACAACACTCTTTTAACCCAACGAGGGTGTACCTGGAAATTTATTACTCCTAGAGCCCCTTGGCAAGGAGGGGGGGCTGTACAAAAGGCTGATAGGCACAGTGAAGAGGTGTCTCCGTAAAGTACTACACCGGAAGAAAATTAATTTGGAGGAATTTCGTGCGGTGTTGGTGGAGGCGGGGATTCGGATAAATAATCGGCCTCTCTCGTACATGAGTGATACACCTGATGTAGATGTATTAACACCTTCTCACTTAATATGTGGAAGGAAATTGGAAGCTGCCCCTGTCTAAAGAAATAATCCTGTAGAAAGTGATGAAGATTACAATGATGCAGCAGTGTTGTGTGATAAATTTAAAATGTTAAATAAAGTAATTGATCATTGATCTAATATGTGGCATAAGGAATATCTTCTTACACTACGTGAACACTTTTATGGTGCGACAGAGGCAGTAAATCTACAGAACATTCAACCAGGTGACATTGTGTTAATTGACACTGAACAACATCGAACATTGTGGCCTCTGGGCAAAGTATTAACATTGTGGAAAATACTGTATATATTTTCCGGAAATACGGTAATTTATAGGTAAATAGATGCCCTATATTGTATTTTTAAAAGAAGTATGTTATCGAAAATGGGAAACTTGCAGCTGGGGAGGTCACTCGCCATCTTGGTTTTGAATTTGGATTAAAAACGTTGGCGTAATGGGAAGAAATTTTCTTGCTCTAGAGGTTAAAATTGTGTTGACACCTCTCAAATAGGAGGCGAAATTGGTGGATGTGCATTCCAGCATAACTTGAGATATCAGACGACTGGACAAGACAGCTCCAGGAACCTCAGATAAGCTCTCTAGATTTGTGTATAATTCTGGCCAGTGTTTTCATAAATTTAGTTAGTGAGGTTTTTCTGAGTATGATACAACTTAATCTCCAGTCAAATTGGTGAGTGATATTAAGATATTCTCTTTCTGTTATGTAATTGTGTATATCTATAATTATTCTTTAATTTTAATATATAGTCTACAAATTTATATATTTACCAGCATTCCTGGTGATGTATTTTTCATTTGATAATTAATAGGTCCAGAGCAACTTGTGGATATGACAGTGATAGGTATCGAAGGGGGACATTTTTGCGACCTAGGTGTCCCAAATTCCTGCTTGTCTATGTAACTCTGATAAATAATAATTATCTTTGTTATCATTTACTGTTATGTACATAATGAGTTACATTCAGATAAATGCAATTTTCCACAAACATTGTACCCAGATGCACAAGGTGTTGTCCGGAATGTCAAAGTGTTGTGTCGTGGCCAGGAAAGTTTACGCACAATGCAGTTGCATAGATTATCATACATTGCAACAAATGTGTAAAGAACCTAAGATAACCCAAAAAAGTCAAAGTGACTTATTTCCATTGGGGTACTTATAATAAACTTACAAGACACTGGAAATAAGTCACACTGACTTTTTTTGGGTTGTCCTAGGCTCTCTACACATATGCTGCTATGGATAATAATTTGTGTAACTGTATTTAAGTATACTTGAATAAGCTTACTGACTTACTTACTCGAGACTACTCAGGCGACTCTCACAACAACCAACATTTGAACCTAAACGGTAATATCTATAAGGTTCCGTCTGTCCTCTCAACCCTTATGACCAACATCAACATTCCTGGTCGCACACTTGTCACTATACCCGTCTTATATAATAGATTCATATGCCACACTATAAACACTTTTTTTAATATATATTTATATTTTTTTATTGCTGATACTTAGTATTTACAAAAAGAAACGAACGCTATTTATTATTCTTAAAACCAAAGTTATGAGTTAAAAAGTAGTTTTAGAAATAGAAAATGTAACCTTATGTTAATGTGGTGGAGGAGCAAGACTGGCTAGCAGGAATGTTTGACTATCTTCGCTACCACTACTAAATAACACTGAATAATGGGCCAGAACAGAAAGAAAGGTTGGTGATTTCGACAAAGAGCACCTTGTAAATAATGGTATTGGTCGCTACAGTTAAGGCTACACAGTAATTTGTGAACTTATGTAAAAACAATTGACTAGGTGACAGTGCTAGCACGGGCTGACAGCGAGGAACCCCAGGTTGAAGCCTGGATGATGTGAGGTGTATGGGCAAGTAACACCTGCAAGAACCCCAGGTTGAAGCCTGGATGATGTGAGGTGTATGGGCAAGTAACACCTGCAAGAACCCCAGGTTGAAGCCTGGATGATGTGAGGTGTATGGGCAAGTAACACCTGCAAGAACCCCAGGTTGAAGCCTGGATGATGTGAGGTGTATGGGCAAGTAACACCTGCAAGAACCCCAGGTTGAAGCCTGGATGATGAGAGGTGTATGGGCAAGTAACACCTGCAAGAACCCCAGGTTGAAGCCTGGATGATGTGAGGTGTATGGGCAAGTAACACCTGCAAGAACCCCAGGTTGAAGCCTGGATGATGTGAGGTGTATGGGCAAGTAACACCTGCAAGAACCCCAGGTTGAAGCCTGGATGATGTGAGGTGTATGGGCAAGTAACACCTGCAAGAACCCCAGGTTGAAGCCTGGATGATGTGAGGTGTATGGGCAAGTAACACCTGCAAGAACCCCAGGTTGAAGCCTGGATGATGAGAGGTGTATGGGCAAGTAACACCTGCAAGAACCCCAGGTTGAAGCCTGGATGATGTGAGGTGTATGGGCAAGTAACACCTGCAAGAACCCCAGGTTGAAGCCTGGATGATGTGAGGTGTATGGGCAAGTAACACCTGCAAGAACCCCAGGTTGAAGCCTGGATGATGTGAGGTGTATGGGCAAGTAACACCTGCAAGAACCCCAGGTTGAAGCCTGGATGATGTGAGGTGTATGGGCAAGTAACACCTGCAAGAACCCAGGTTGAAGCCTGGATGATGAGAGGTGTATGGGCAAGTAACACCTGCAAGAACCCCAGGTTGAAGCCTGGATGATGTGAGGTGTATGGGCAAGTAACACCTGCAAGAACCCCAGGTTGAAGCCTGGATGATGTGAGGTGTATGGGCAAGTAACACCTGCAAGAACCCCAGGTTGAAGCCTGGATGATGTGAGGTGTATGGGCAAGTAACACCTGCAAGAACCCCAGGTTGAAGCCTGGATGATGTGAGGTCTATGGGCAAGTCTCCTAACACCTGCAAGAACCCCAGGTTGAAGCTTGGATAGTGTGAGGTGTATGGGCAAGTCTCCTAACACCTGCAAGAACCCCAAGTTGAAGCCTGGATGAGGTGAGGTGTATGGGCAAGTCTCCTAACACCTGCAAGAACCCCAGGTTGATGCCTGGATGATGTGAGGTCTAGGGGCAAGTCTCCTAAAACCTGCAAGAACCCCAGGTTGAAGCCTGGATGAGGTGAGGTGTATGGACAAGTCTCCTAACACCTGCAAGAACCCCAGGTTGAAGCCTGGATGAGGTGAGGTGTATGAGCAAGTCTGCTAACACCTGCAAGAACCCCAGGTTGAAGCCTGGATGAGGTGAGGTCTATGGGCAAGTCTCCTAACACCTGCAAGAACCCTAGGTTGAAGCCTGGATGGTGTGAGGTCTATGGGCAAGTCTGCTAACACCTGCAAGAACCCCAGGTTGAAGCCTGGATGAGGTGAGGTGTATGGGCAAGTCTCCTAACACCTGCAAGAACCCCAGGTTGATGTCTGGATGATGTGAGGTCTATGGGCAAGTCTCGTAACACCTGCAAGAACCCCAGGTCGAAGCCTGGATGAGGTGAGGTGTATGGGCAAGTCTCCTAAAACCTGCAAGAACCCCAGGTTGAAGCCTGGATGAGGTGAGGTGTATGGGCAAGTCTCCTAACACCTGCAAGAACCCCAGGTTGAAGCTGGATGAGGTGAGGTCTATTGGCAAGTCTCCTAACACCTGCAAAACCCCAGGTTGAAGCCTGGATGAGGTGAGGTGTATGGGCAAGTCTCCTAACACCTGCAAGAACCCCAGGTTGAAGCCTGGATGAGGTGAGGTCTATTGGCAAGTCTCCTAACACCTGCAAGAACCCCAGGTTGAAGCCTGGATGAGGTGAGGTGTATGGGCAAGTCTCCTAACACCTGCAAGAACCCCAGGTTGAAGCCTGGATGAGGTGAGGTGTATGGGCAAGTCTCCTAACACCTGCAAGAACCCCAGGTTGAAGCCTGGATGAGGTGAGGTCTATGGGCAAGTCTCCTAACACCTGCAAGAACCCCAGGTTGAAGCCTGGATGATGTGAGGTCTATGGGCAAGTCTCCTAACACCTGCAAGAACCCCAGGTTGAATGAGTTTTAATAAGTTACTAACCCTCCAGGGTTAATAATTGGAATAAAGCCTTCTTTGTATACATATTATTGTTTTTACTGTGGTCTTAAGTGTACAGATGTTAAACCTGGAGGTTACATAAAGATGATTTTGAAGGTTATTTCACTCTTTGCCCAGTCCCAGACCAGGTCTCTTGGTTGATGGCCTGATCAACCAGGCTGTTGGTGTTAGCCACATACAATTGATCATATACACTACAGCCTGGTTGATCAAGAACCGATTTAAGAATTTATCAAGCTCCCTCATTAAGACAATCTATGGATCTGTTGGTAGAAAATAAAGATTATTATTATTATATTATTATTATTATTATTATTATTATTAATGGGAGGGTGTTCAAAAGTTCTGTCCATTTACACTTCTTAGGTTTCATCTTGGTGTACTCATAGCACCCTTGCTTTTCATTGTGAATATTTTGCACCATATATCAAGCCTCTTGCTTTTGTAGGTAAAATGTACTCGTGTAGATTTAACCTGTGATAATCCAGTAAAGTCAAACAATGCAACTTATTTCCATTGGGATCCCTAATGTTCCTATTTGTGTCTTTTACACTGCCGCCCACACTTCAATTACTAGTAAATATGTACAGCCTTCAAGACAGTTCATTGGACCCTGAGCCAATACCAGGTATATTTAAAATGAAATAGTTGGCTAATGAAGTCAGATCTAAACTAAGCTAACATACCATAAACTAATCTAACAATATAATTTTCCCTAATCTAAATATACTATGTATTTGTTTGGCAGTAACAATGTGAGGACATACCTGAAGTATACCTGAAGAGGGTTTCAGGGGTCGATGCCCCTGCAGCCCGGTCTGTGACCAAGCCTCATGGTGGATCAGGGCCTGATCAACCAGGCTGTTACTGTTGGCTGCACGTAAACAGATGTATGAACCACAGCCTGGCTGGTCAGGTACTGACTTTAGGTGCCTGTCCAAAGCCTTCTTGAAGACAGCCAGAGATCTATTGGGTAGTTTCCCTTATGTATGATGGGAGGCAGTTGAACAATCTTGGGCCCCTGATACTTACTGTGTTGTCTCTTATCGTGCTAGTGGCGCCCCTGCTTTTCATTGAGGGGATGTTGCATTGTCTGCCTAGTCTTTTGCTTTCATAGGGAGTGATTTTCGTGTGCAAATTTGGTACTAATCCCTCTAGGATAGTATAATCGGAAAATGTGAAAGGTCACTTATTAAGGTGAAATCTTCATGTTTTCATACCTGTTCTGTTATCCTAACACCAAACATTTATGGTTCTCCTCTTTCTTCTGTTCCATCTATCTCATACTTTGCTTATTTATCCTTGCATGCATTTCTTAAATGCTGTATTTCTAAAGCCTGAATTTTAGAGTAATCTCTTTAATTCCCTATCTTTGCTTCACTTAGATCAGAGATGGAGTTCTGTGTATACTGTACTGTCATTCACTCACTTCCTCACATCCACAAAAATTCAATCACTTTTCCCTTTTATATTATTCTCTCCCTCTTATAATTGATTAATTAAAAAAATTCACAGGGCCACCCCTCTCCAAAGAGGAGCTGCGCATGCTCACTGTGGGAGAAATAGTGCAAGAGTTAATAAAAGCACAAAAGGAGCAGCGTGATGTGAATCTCAACAAGTTGAAGACACGTATTTCATCCAAATATGGGCTTCAATCATCACCAAGACTTGTGGATATTATAGCTGCAGTACCGCAACAACATAAGAAGGTCCTCCTCCCCAAACTCCGGGCAAAACCTGTCCGCACTGCTTCTGGGGTAAATTAAATGATAGATATTTACTGTAATGTAATTGTAGTGAGTAGAGTTTATGAGTCATTTAGAAAAACTCACTGCAGTAATATGTCATCATATATTTATTACTCCAGCTGAGTTTCTTTCCTGGCCAGAGATAAAACAAAGGCCTGCAGCCTTTCATCATGTTAAGCATCATGTGAACTTTGTGCATTACATTGGTACCCCGAGTTTTGGCCACAATTCGTTCCAGAAGATTGTTTGAGTGCCGTTACTGAACGAATTTGTTCCCGTAAGGAATAATGTAAATTAGATTAGTCCGTTTCAGTCCCCCAAAAGCACTTACAATAATACACTTACATAATTGTTCGAGTTGGGAGCTGTACGAAACTTGGGGTACCACTGTACTTTTTAATTAGACAAAGCATAAGGTGTTATATCTTTGATTATTTTCCTTATAAAAAATATTGGATAAGGACTTTTATATTAAAGAATCTCAACTTAGGTAATGCATGTCAAATGAGGCCAGTAGTATTCCAAAGACATACTGTAATTCTTTCAAGAGAGCATGATTACAGCATAGTTATTTATTTTATGTATTTGTATTACTACGTATATCCAAAAAAAAATTAAACATTGTCTTTTAAAATTATGTATGCTGCTTTCTTTTTGAGTTAAAAATGAAAAAATAGTTCACTCATACAGCTTTTAAATTGTTTCTAGTTTATTCCTGTGTGCGTTATTATCCACATAGAGGAAGCACATGAAAAAACGGTGGCATAAAGACACACTTTCAACGCAAAGAATTGTTTTATTAATACAGTGGTCCCTCAATAATCGTCCAGCCTGAAAGTCGTCCATTTCGGAAATAGTCCCGTTATTTCGTCTAAACATTGGCTCACAAATGGTCCGTTAACTCGCTAATCGTCTTTCGTCCTAGATGCGTACTCATGCTCTGAGCCGCCTGGGCCTGCCTTCCCAGCCAGTGTGCCATTGTTTACCAGTGAGTGATGGCCCCCTCCCGTGTTCATACGAAATATTTCATAATATTCCATTGATTTTAGTGCTTGCAAGTGCTAAATAAGCTACCATGGCTCCAAAGAAAGCTCTTAATGCCAAGCCTTTGGTAAAGAAGGTGAGAAATACAATTGAATTTAAGAAAAACATCATTGAACAATATGAAAGTGGCATACGTGTGGGCGAACTGGCCAGGATGTATAACAAATCCCGTACAACCATATCTTCCATCATAGCCAAGAAAAAGGAAGTCAAGGACGCTGTTGTTGCAAAGGGGGTAAATATGCTGACAAAAATGAGATCACCAGTACTCGAAGGTGTTAAGTTATTATTGGTGTGGATAAACGAGAAACAATTAGCAGGAGATAGTCTTATGACATCGCTTATTTGTGAAAAGGCTAGGCAGTTGCATGACAATTTGGTAAAGAAATTGCCTGCAACTAGTAGTGATGTGAGTGAATTTAAGGCCAGCAAAGGCTGGTTTGAGAGATTTAAGAAGCGTACTGGCATACACAGTGTGATAAGGCATGGTGAGGCTGCCAGTTCGGACCAAAAAGCGGCTGAAAAACATGTGCAGGAATTCAAGGAGTACATAGAGGCTGAAGGACTGAAACCTGAACAAGTGTTCAATTGTGACAAAACAGGCCTCTTTTGGAAGAAAATGCCAAAGAGGACCTACATTACTCAGGAAGAAAAGGCACTACCAGGACACAAGCCTATGAAAGACAGGCTGACGCTAATGTTCTGTGCTAATGCTAGTGGGGATTTAAAAGTGAAGCCGTTACTAGTGTACCATTCTGAAAATCCCAGAGTGTTCAAGAAAAACAATGTTATGAAGAGTAGATTGTGTGTGTTTTGGAGATCTAATAATAAGGCATGGGTCACGAGGACATTTTCGTCAAGTGGTTCAGTGAAGTGTTTGGCAATAGTGTGAAGAATTACCTCCTGGAAAAGAAATTGGATCTCAAGTGCCTCCTAGTAATGGACAATGCACCTGCTCATCCTCCAAACTTGGATGACCTAATTCTGAAGGAGTTTGGGTTCATCACAGTAAAGTTCTTGCCCCCGAATACCACTCCTCTCCTCCAGCCCATGGACCAGCAAGTCATTTGAAACTTTAAAAAACTCTACACCAAAGCAATGTTTGAAAGGTGCTTTAATGTGACCTCAGACACTCACTTGACCCTACAAGATTTTTGGAAAGAACACTTCAGTATTCTCCATTGCATAAGCCTTATAGGTAAGGCTTGGGAGGGAGTGACTGCCAGAACTTTGAACTCTGCTTGGAGAAAATTGTGGCCAGATTGTGTCCACAAGAGGGATTTTGAAAGGTTTGAGGCAGCCCCTGATGAGCCTATGTCAGTTGTGAACTCTATTGTGGCACTGGGGAGTTCCATGGGGTTGGATGTGAGTTTGGAGGATGTGGAAGAGTTGGTGGAGGACCACAACGAAGAGCTAACCACTGAGGAGCTGCAAGAGCTTCAGCAGAAAGAGCAACAGATCGCAGCTCAGAATCTTGCTGCAGAGGAGGAGAGAGATGGAAGAAGGTGCCTTCTTCAGAAATTAAGGAGATTTTTGAAATGTGGAGTAGGATGGAAAGATTTATGGAGAAACATCACCCTGAGAAGGATGTTGCAAGCCATATCAGCAACTTGTACAGTGACAGAGTCTTGGCCCATTTTAGGGAAGTTTTAAAGAGACACCAGAAATCAGAGCTCTCTGGACAGTTTTTGCGAGACAGGACCTCAGTGACTCTCAAGCTGGTCCAAGGCAATAAGAAACAGAGAAGAAGTAACCCCGAAAGCATTGGTACCTGAGGTGTTGATGGAAGGGGATTCCCCTTCCAAACAGTAAATAATCCAGTCTCTCTCCTTCTCCAGTCTTCCATACACTAAGAAGAATCGCCAATAAAGTTAAGTGTTATGCTGTTAATGTTTTCATTTATCATGTACCATTGTATTGTTTATGTACTACATCAATATTTCATGTTAAAAATTTTTGTGTTTAAGCCTATCAGGGTCAAAGGCCAAAATCTGAAGGGTGTCCCAGCGTCAAAAATTTTGAGAAAAAAAAAAAACAGTTTGTCTTTCGGAATTAAAGATAATATTTTTGTGAAGGTAATAAAACAAAACAAAAAAATTCCGATCAATACTTACCGAGATGCAATGGCGGAAGTTGACCCAAAATGACTAGGTGTGCGCAAATCAGCGACATTCCACAAATTGCATTTTTTAATCCTTACGTTTTTCTATCTTTTCTTTTCTATTTTTTTCTTTTTCTAGTAACATTTGTGGTCTGTGGACCAATTATGTATATTGTATAAGTGTACACTCATTGTATTCAACACAATAACTGCACTAATTTGTTTGCATTATTTGCTTACAAACTTGTTTACAAGTTATGTAAACAAAATGATGCAAAGATTTGTGCAGGTTATTGTGTTGAATACAACGTACCATTAGTACTATATGGTACAATGTGCCATAAGGTGCCAATGGTACCATATGGTACATGGTACCATATTGTACAATTGCACCATATGATCCAATTGATACCATATTGTGAGGTAAAATATGGTACAAATGGCACAATTTGGTGCAGTGGTACCATATGATACAATGGTACCAATGGTGCAATGGAACCTTATGGTACCATATAGATTGCAATTGTTACCATAGGTGTCATGTACCATATGGTGCAATGGTCCATAAGGTGCAATGGTACCAAAATGGTACATTTTACCATATGGTACAATGATAACATATGGTTCATTGTACATATGGTACATTGTACCATATGGTACTGTTGTATTCAACACAAACACATTGATATTTTCATGATAATTTTGTTTACAATAATTGTTTACAACAAAAATATGCAAAAATGTTGTATATCAGTAATGTACTATTATATATTTACAAATGTACAGCCACTCGACATGTTCCTTGAGGTGGATGACAAAGCGCTTTCTTGGAAACTGCCGAGTCACTAGCTAGCTTACGTCGTGACTCACTCAGTCTTGCCTGGTGCCTGTTGGCAGCAACATCTGTAACTGACCATACGGTACATGGTATCATATGTTACAGGGTGCCATATGGTACATTGTACTATATGGTATAGGGTATGCGCGCCTTCACGGTGCGCATAACGGAGATAAAACACCTCAATTACTGGGAGCGCTTGAGGTTCCTAAACCTGTATTCCCTGGAATGCAGGCGGGAGAGGTACATGATTATATACACCTGGAAAATCCTAGAGGGACTAGTACCGAACTTGCACACGAAAATCACTCACTACGAAAGCAAAAGACTTGGCAGACGATGCAACATCCCCCCAATGAAAAGCAGGGGTGTCACTAGCACGTTAAGAGACCATACAATAAGTGTCAGGGGCCTGAGACTGTTCAACTGCCTCCCAGCATACATAAGGGGTATTACCAACAGACCCCTGGCAGTCTTCAAGCTGGCACTGGACAAGCACCTAAAGTCGGTTCCTGACCAGCTGGGCTGTGGCTCGTACATCGGTTTGCATGCAGCCAGCAGTAACAACCTGGTTGATCAGGCTCTGATCCACCAGGCGGCCTGATCACACACCGGGCCGCGGGGGTATTGACCCCCGGAACTCTCTCCAGGTAAACTCCAGGTAAACTCCAGGTGCAGGGTACCATATGGTGCAGGGTACCATATGGTGCAGGGTACCATATGATTCAGTGTACCATATGGTGCAGGGTACCATATGGTACAGGGTACCATATGGTACAGGGTACCATATGGTACAGGGTACCATCAGGACACCATATGATACAGATACAGGGATCCCTATGGAAATAAGTCACCCTGACTTTTTTGGGTTATCCTAGGATTTTATACATATGCTGCTATGTATGATAATCTATGTAACTGTATTTGTGTACACCTGAATAAACTTACTCAGGCACATGTGGCATTGTAAGTAAGTTTATTTAGGTATACACAAATAAAGTTACATAGATTATCATACATAGCAGCATATGTTTGGAGAACCTAGGATAACCAAAAAAAGTCAGACTTACTTCCATTAGGGTCCCTGTACCCTGTACCATATGGTATAATGTACCATATGATACCATTGTATCATGTACTATATGGTACAATGGTACCATATGGTTCAAAACCATAGAATTCCTCTTCAGATCCACTTCCATCAGTCTTAGAACTGTAAGTTGTGAAGAGGAGAGTCAGAATTCGCCAGGAGAGTGAGTGGGGAGTGAGAGCTTCCTTGCGGCCAGGCATGATGAACAAAGCACTTTGGCGGCTTTCCCACAATGTCATGCAGGCGTCCAGATTTTTTCTATAGTGTGCACACTGACCACCCAGACTCATTCTCTCAGATGTAGGCCTACCAGCCTTCTTGCACTAAATTTGACGCCTCTAGAATTTTGGCGTAGATCTACGGTTTGGACCCTCAACATAAAGCTGTAGATCTACGGCACGGACCCTGAAAGGGTTAATACTTCTGGATGTCAGGAACGGATTAATTGTATTTACATTATTTCTTATGGGGAAAATTGATTAAAAAATCGTCTATTTCGATAATAGTCCCACTTCCAGGAATGGATTATGGATGATAATTGAGGGACCACTGTTCAGCATTTCACCCACTAAGGACTTTAGTGACTTCATAATGACCCCTACTGAGTGTAACATATAAATAAAAGGTTCTTGCCATTGTTTTTTTTTAGCATATCAGGCATTTCCCACTAAAGCAGGGTAACCCAAAAAGAAAGAAAACTTTCATCATTGTTCAACACCTTCACCATCATTTGTATATAATCACTGTCTTTACCATATATCCCCTAAAAACATTAAATACACTAGTGTTGTTATTATTTCATGAGTGTTTATGTATTCTTTGGGTAGCAGAAGACATTATATCAGTTGAGTTCAGTGTAATGAATGCTGATCACTAAAACACAAAAACCAACATGGACGTAGAAGGAAACACAGTGCAATAATAGCTGTATATTTATGCATGAAACTGAGGCCTTCTTTATCTGCTGCCATGTAGTACTTGATGACCTGCAGGGGTTTGGACTTTCTGTGAAAATTATTTGAAAGTTTGGCATCATTGTAATATTGTCACACCAGGATACAGTGGTACCTCAAGTTTCGAACAGCTCCCAACTCGAACAATTATGTAAGTGTATTTTTGTAAGTGCTTTTGTAAGTGTATTTTTGGGGTCTGAAACGGACTAATCTAATTTACATTATTCCTTATGGAAACAAATTTGTTTGGTATCGGCACTAGAACAACCTTCTGGAACAAATTAAGTTTGTAACTTGAGGTACCACTGTATTCTATATTAAACATTACTTCATCAGATTGCAGTTGTAGCTGTTATGTGCAAACCTCATCGATGCCCCCACATCAATATGACCGGCAACATATGTGTCTACTGTCCAGGTGGACCAGATTCTGACTTTGAATATTCGACACAGAGCTACACTGGGTATGAACCCACATCTATGAGAGCTATACGGGCAAGATACAACCCATACCTGCAAACTAGACACAGAGTGGAACAGGTATATGTCACACAAGGAAGTTTTTACTTAATTTCATGCTATTTTATGACTTACAGTTTTGTAATTCATCTGTCTTCATTTCTAAGAAAAGTGTCACAATGTCAATAATTCTCACATGGATTGTACCTTCCTCCATTCAAAAAAACAAAAAAAAATTTAACACTGATGTATAGTATCAGATTTACAAACTAAATGAAAATATGGTAGTCACCTAACACGATGAGTCTCTGTGGACTAAACATTTCTAAAAATTCTTTGATCCTGCATTTGACTAAATTTCCATTTTTACCTGTTAGTGAGATAAATTTTAAGTATGACTAAAGAATTTTATTACTCTGATAAAAAATTATTTTCCTTTTCTTTTCTAACTTTTTCTGCAAAAATCACACAAATTGTGAATGTGGGGGGAAAAATTATTTTAAAAAAGTCTAAAGGGGAAATTTTTTAAAAGGGCTTTACGTAAACCCTTTTTATAACTTCATATTAATTTCCCTTTTAAAAACCCTTTTTTAAGCTCCAGCAGCTGGGTCACAGTTTTTACAAAGGGGAATTTTTTTGGGTGATGGGGGAACATTCAGGGGCTCCCCCCCAAGGACTAAGAGTTTAAACTCTAAAAAACCCTACATGATGCTCTCCCTGGTCCACTCCTCAGCCAGTTTTGCTAAAGGGCGTCAAATACTCAGAACGAAGCAACACTAAATTATAGGTAAGGTTTCCTTTGCTCTTATTTTTACAATTTAAAAATAATTTTTTAATAATAAAAATTTGTTTTTTTCAGCATTTTAATGTGCTGTATTTCTTACTAGCTTTTTTTTTTTTTGCTTAAAAAAATTTTAATCTTCACAAAAAAAAATAATAATACTACATTGGAACCTGGGTACTCAAAAAATTTGGGTATTCGAGCGCTTTTTGTTCGGAAAAATTTCGCTTGGTATTTTGACTGTTTCCTTGGCCCCTCACAAACAAACATGCCCTTTCCCAAAACTTCCTATAAACTATTTTGTTTTCTTCACTTTTTTTTGGTTTTTTTTTTTTATATTATTTATAAAAGTAATCCCCAAAGGGGCCTAAGGGGGTTATTTGATAAAAAACCAACCAAAAAAAAAATTTGGTTTGGGGAAAAAATTTGTTCGGTACTCTAAACAGATGGGCACTTAAACCCGCCTTTTTGGAACAATTTAAGTTCGAGTGCTGAATTTCCCCACTGTTCTACCCTAGTATTTATAAATTTTTCCCTTTTTTTTGGAAATTTGTTTTTTCCAGGTCATTCCATTAAGTTTTTAAAAAGGGAGCATTGTTATAGCCCCATCTACAAGAATGTTAGAAAAACAAGTAATAATAAACTAGGGTTTAAAAAAAATAATTTCTCTCACTATAAAAAATTTTTGATATAATGCTTAATGTAATTTTGCTAAAAATTTCCCCCTTCTTCTTTTTTTTTTTTTTTTAAAAAACCCGGGCCGTATCCCACTAAGCGGGGTTTGGCCCCAAAAAAAAAAAAAGACTTTTTCTCTTTTTTTTTTTTTTTTTTTTTTTTTCAACAATTGGGGCCCTCTCCCACCGGGCGGGGTTACCCAAAAAAAAAAAAAAAATTCCCCAAAAAAAAAATACTTTCATAAACATTCAAAAAAAAAACTTTCACCACACTCGCCCCAATATCACTTTTTTTTTGCAGAGGGCTCAGATACAACACTAGAACATAACATAAAAGGGACACAAAAAACATATCCCCCAAACTGCCAAATCCCAAACCCCCCCTTTTAAAAAAGTGCAGGCTTTTGTACTTCCCATTTCCGGGACTAAAGGTCCGACTATATGAAAAAAAACCCGGGTTTTTTCCCCTTTAACCCCTTCACTAAATATTACCCTGCTCACACTCCAACAGATCGTCAGGTCCCAAGTCCCAAATTCTCCCTTCACTCCTATCTAACACGCTCACCAGGGTTTGCGGGAAAACCCAAACCCCCCCCTTTCCCCCACAAAACCCCCTTTTAAACCCCCCTCCCCAAAACCCCTTTCGAGGCGCCCCCTACCCCCCCCTTTCCCCTTTCCCTAAAGTTTTAATTGTTTTCCAGGGTAAATTCTACGTGATCCTTTCCTCTAAATGACCAAACCCCCCCAACAACCCCTCTTCTGCCCTCTGACTAATATTTTTATTAACTCCAAAAACCTTCTCCTTTTTTCCCACATTTCCCCAAATTTTTTTTGCAAATTTTTACACCCCCCACATTGCCCTTAACGGGGACTTTTCCCCGCTGCCCCCAAAACCGTCTCCTTGCTCCCTGAAATTTACCACCCAACTTCACCCCCCATATAAGAGTGTTGGACAACTAACTTTCATCCCACCCCCCTTCTTTGCCTCCATAGATAACTTTTTTTTTTGACCCCACATATCCCTTTAAAACGCACCACTCACCTTTTTTTTCCCCTCATAAATTCTATGATTAACCCACCCTTTAAATAAACCCCTCCGCCGCCCACGTCAATTTCCCCAAGTATCTAAAAAAATTAAAACTTCTTCCAAAATCCCCTTCCTCCCCCCAATTTGATATCCAATTTTTCTTTATCTAAATCATTTCCCCCCCCTTTCATCACCTTACTTTTTTTCTATGTTAAAGGGGTTTCAACCCTTTTCACCTTTAAAACACATTCCCAAACTCATCCCTAAACCTTTAAAAAATTTCTTTAAAAAACCCAAAAAACACAGACCCCCTCAGAAAAAAAGTAACTGTGCCAATTTCCCTTTTTTGAATTTGTTTCCCCCAAAAAAAAAAATCCCACCCCCCCCCCCAAACCCCCCCCCAACCCCTTTATTTCCCCTTTACAACCCCACCTAAAAAATATTTTTAAACAACCATGGTGACATTAAACATCCCGTCTAAAAACCTCTTTTCCCGGGGAAGTAGTCTCCCCCCTTTTCCCTACAAAACCCCTAACCGAGCCTACAAACCTCAAAAAAAACCTTTTACAGCATTTAATAACTTACCACCTACCCAAATATTTGCAACATCGGGCCACATTGCTCCTCATCCACCTATCAAAGGGCCTTTTTTCTAAACCCCATAAAGGGCAAAAAAAAACCCCTCCCTATCTTTTTTCAAAATACTGTTCACATATATCTTCAAGTAAACACCTGATCTACAAAACCCCCCCTCCCCCACCCCAAAAAACCTCCTTGCTCACCCGAAATCCTACATTCTGTCTTACCTCAAATTTTCTTTCAATTAAAACCCCCAAACCGTCTGGGTAGTGGGTTGGTAAAACCAAAACCGCCCAGGGGGGTACTACCGTCCTAAAAAGTGATGTAAAACTGAAGCCTGAAATTTTTTTTACACGTGGTAAGTTTTGCTGGTGTTTTTTTTTATCGGGTCTCATACACATGAAAAGATTTCAGTTTCTTGCTACTTCTACTTACATTTTAGGCACCTACACATAAAAGTAAAAGCAATAAAAAAAACACCCCCCCTTTTGGGTTTCTTCCTTTTCTTCTATTTTCTTGTTCTTGTTTTTTTCCCTTACCCCATGGGGAAGGGGAACAAAATTTCTTCCTCCGTAAGCCATGCGTTTTTGTAAGAGGCAACAAAAAATTCCCGGGGAGCAAGGAGCAAGTAACCTTTTCCTCCTGTATAAATTACAAAAAGGGAAAAAGGAGAAACTTTTCTTTTTTTTCCCTTTTGGGGGGCCCCCCGCCTCGGGGGGATAGGGCCGGTGTGTAAAGAAAGAAAAAATAACCCTCCCGGGTCACTTTTCCTGGTATACTCAGTAAGCTTATTCCTCTTTTAAATTTTTAAAACAGTCCTTTTGCCCCCCTTTCCCCCTTTTATAAAAGGGACTATACAGGGCCTCTCCCAAACCTAGGTCCCTTTCCCCCCCTTTCTACATTTTTTTAAAAACAAAAGTACCAACCACTCCAACCTATACCCCCCCCCCGGGTTTTTAAACATTTCTGTCATGACCCCCCAATCATTTCCACTGCTTTAAACCCCCTTTCTTTTTTAACTTAATCCCTCACGTACCTCCCCCACTTTTTACATTCTGCCTTTTCACCCCTAAAAGAGGGTATACCCCCTGACCAGTGCATGAAATTACGCCTCTGTTTTTTCCCCTTAACTTTTAAAAAATTTCCCCCAAAAAAATTCCTCGCCATCTACCCAATCCCTCCATCTCCCCATCAACTAACCCCCCAAACCTTTTTTTAAACGACAAATCCATATTTTCCCTGGGCTTTTTTTTTAATTTGGGTTTAAAACCTCGTTTCCAAAAATTTTTTTCTTATTTTCATTAAAATTTTTGACAGTGCCTCCCCACCCTAATCATCTGCTCCCCTTTTTGAAACTCCTCCCCACTCTTTTTCCCTTTTCTTTTTACCCCCCATATCCCTCTGCTCTTTTTAAATAACATTTCCCTGTTTTGGAAAAAACCCCCAAAAGCTCCCTTTTCCCCCTTTTTTAAATCAACCCTTTACTTCATCATTCCCCCCAATCATCCTCTTTCCCTCCTCCCCCACCCCCCTTTAATAACCACAAACTTCGGGCCCCAAACATTCTAATATTTTGCTTTTTTAAAACTTTTTCCAACCCTTTTAAACCCCCCCCAAACTACTCATTTTTGCACTAGCCCACCTTCTGCCAATAGCCCGCTTATATCTCACACAAACTTCCTCCCCCCCTTTAGTTTAATACACTTTAAACCCCCCTTTTTTTACTTTTTTTTTTGCCCCCCCCCCTTTTTTTCCCATCTCCCCCATTTTACTCAACTTTTTACTACAACTAAATAATGTTTCCGTTTATATCTTTTTGCCCCGGGAGCCCCCATAAAACCCTTTTACCCAAACCAATACATAATCAAATAAACTACTTTCATTAGGGTGCTACATAAAACCCTTTTTAAAATTTTTTTATCCCTTTTTCAAAAAATATGTATTACTTATTCCCAAAATTTTCTTTACACATAGCTAAAATTTAAAACCCCCCCATTTACTTTTCCCCCCGGGCAACCCCAAATTTACCTACTACCCCCCTCCATAAAATTTTTTACCCACTTTACATTAAAACCCCCCAACCACCATTACTCCCCCACTTGTTTTCAAAACTCCCCCGCTTTTCACTCAAAAAATTTCCCAAAATCTCTCTCTCTCCTCTACATTTCTCTCTTCTCCAGGTGCATACACGTTTAATTAAAACCCACTTTTCACATCCAATCTTTATTTTGCTCCACATAACCCTTTGGGAATTAATACATTTAAGCCCCTTTTTTCCCTCCCAAATAGCTTACCCTTCAACATTAGCTACCCCTTTCCCTTTAGCTCTAACCTTTTGAAACCCCTGACCTAACCCCAAATTTATTCCTCTCCACGAAACTCTCCCCCCAAAACCCTTCAGCTTTGTTTTCACTTAAACCAGGACACCATTTTTTTTCCCCCCATTCATAACATCCAAAATTTCACTCTTTTTTAACATCTGCAAAACCCTCCCCCCGCAAAATTCAGACCCCCACTTTGACAATTTTTTTTCCCTTCTTATTTTTTTTAAAGTAATTTTTACAGGAAAAGGGGTTACT